AATACTAAGCTTCAATTTTTTTTTACGTTTGTGTATTGGAGTTAAAATATCAAATAAACGGTATTTTTGTATATAAAAAACCATTATAATGGAAACATTATATTTTATTTATGACACCATATACACCGAGATAGTTCATAGTCTCTCATGACCCCCAAACGTGATATTAACTTTTCCTGGCTAGTCTGTTGGCTCCACGATTAACGGTACCAATAACGGCCACACGAAATAATGACGTGGTAACGCGGCCATTTTTGATCGAACGTTATTTTTTTTTTTTAATTTATTCTAATTATCAAAGAACTTGAGTAAAACGATCGAGAAAACACGAGCATAACTTTTATTTTAGAAAAAAAATTGAACATCAAATCTAAAAATTTTTATTGAAATATTAATGAAAAATAGTTATTTAAAAGATAATATACATTTTTCTAATTTATCTTTTTTCGATCATGCTCGTTTCCTAATCTAAATTGTATAATAAAATTTAATATTATTATTATTATTAAAGGAATTGTTATGTTATTGCATAAAAAGAAATACTCAAATATGTATGTAGATATCTCTGAAGCATTTAAAAATACTTCGATCAAGTTTTAATTTTAATACATCATAATCACGATCGTATCACATGTATTACTAGAAAAAAAAAAAAAAAAAAAAAAAAAAAAAAAAAAAAAAAAAAAAAAAAAAAAAAAAAAAAATACAGAAAAATCTTTCATTTTTATCCAACAAAAGTCTACACCTCGCGTACTATTCTGTCATAAGCATTCGAAATTACAACGCGAAACGAAGCAAAGAAAGTTGAACGCGAAAAGCTATATGCCACATGCAGAAAAGTATCTGTATCACAGGTACAAAGGGAAATTCGTCTGGTTGACGTGCGCATTTCTTTACGTTTTAATTAATATGAGCATCAAAGCAAGTTCGAAGCCGCCATAACAACTGTGAAGAAAGAAATGGAAACGTTCATAACGACGAGTCTCCGCGAGGAGATGCAAACTTTTAACAAACGATGATTTCGAAACGGAGAGAACGATTATGAAAACAGGCGAAAACACGATTTATCCAGTCGCGATACAATTTCGCGAGTTATTGTAAACTCAAAGAAGTTCGACGCCAATCCTCGCTTGTAATACCGAATTTGAATCACAAAGAGCTGCTTTGTGACGTACGCTTGCGTGAATAAATTGTATGGAAAAATAATATTTTCCAATATGTCTTTGGAAATGATGGAAATTTCGCTAATACTGAAACCGATATTTTTCTACAAGCTTGACGTTCAATCGATCGTGAAAGAAATATTTCTTTCCCTAATCGACACAAATTTCTAGAAATCTGATAACTGAGTATTTGTTAATGATTCAATGATCATCTGTGATTATTATTTGTCGTGCTTGTATTAATAAAATTTAAATATAAGGATTAGCAAAACACCTCTTTCTACATGAGAATAAAAATTATTGAAACAAAAATAATTAAAAAAAAAAAAGAAAACAAGTAATATATCTAAGTATAAATCTATAAATTTTTTTATATTGATTGATTTGAAACATATACCTATCATTTACAAAAAGTTTATGAAAAGAAATTTAATCTGAAATTTGCTTATTAATCAGATAATGTACAAACTCGGATATAAAGCTTTCAATTAATCTAATAAACTACTCCAAGAAAATACCAAATGAAATAAAACGAGTAGTCAGTATTATCTTTTTCAAGATTAATCCTTCGTTTCTTTTTTCACAGCCTCTAGAGGTTATCCCTCTGATATTAACAATCCTCATATCTCAAGGATAGAAACGAAAAAAATAATCTATCATCGAATGAAGTGAACGATAACAAATCTTGTTTTCTCAAAAATATATTTATAGCTATCATTTACATCATTGCCCAATTATGGAGAAAGACAAAATAATCTCAGATAAACGTAAAACAAACTTTTTCTCTGTTAAGATAATTATTAAAATTTGTCATGCCAAATATAGGCATACAATAGTTTGCTAAAAATATTAACAAAACAATTAATTAATATCTTTATTAATGTGAAAAAATATGTTTAAATTAAATAAAATTTATAAAAACAGTAAGTGTTCTTATTTCTCAAAATGTTAAAGAAAGTTTACATCGACTAACCATATTCTTTAATAATTACTTTTCTCCATAATTGGGCAAACTAATCAAAAAGAAGAACCTATCAGTCTCCAAAAGAACTTCGTTCTCTTTTTCTATTAAACTTTTACTAAAATATATTCGTGCAAGAATCGTAACTGTTTCCATATAGACATCACTAGGCCGCGAAAATCGCCATCGATCAACCGGGTCGAGAGTTTGTCACCTCTGGATCGAGGAGCAATTAATTCTGGCGAACGACTTCGTGGAGCGGACAGAGGGGCACGTAAGTAAACCGGCTGTCAAATCCGATTTCTGACAAGGCCGAGAGGCCACAATTTGCCTCGTGATTTCTCATTACCGATAATGAGCCCGCGATTCTATTTTAGATGGTGGGAACCTGCCTGTTTCGCATTATCATAGCGGAATCGATGAAACGTAGTTTCGTAATTAACTTTTCGCGTTTGCCACTGATTCTCCAAAGTATAAGTTGGAAAGAAAAAAAAAAAAAAAAAAAAAAAGGTGGGAAATCCCATTGTGATATTAGTAACATCATTGTCAGAACATTGTGTTTAATTAATATTTACTTGCATTATATTTTCATATGATAATGTGTAACTTTTGACTCTTAATCCTTATTTTTGTTTAATTCTATTTGTTTGAATTTAATGAATTAAATTTAAAAGTTTATTATAAAATTGTATGTTGCACTACGGTAATTGTATCGTGATGTAATTGTATGTGTATTTTATTTTCGCATATTATATTAATGGATAAAATTTGCAAATGTAATATAATTTATAATTTTCGAAAGTAATATGAAATAATATTTCCATTATCTACACTATATAGCTATTTATAAAAGTTTTAAAAAGAAAATTCTATATAATTTTACTACAAGATTAATTCTATGGTAAGGAGATTGAAAATCAAAGATGTAAACATTGCATTTACGTATAAATTTAATTATAAAATATAAATTATATAATGCAAGTAAATATTAATTAAACATGATGTTTTTTCTTTAATTTTTAATTAGTGTAAAAAATAATTTTAAAAATTATTAAATTTATTTCTTGCACAATTATAATACTTTTTTAAAACATATTCATAAAGATTGTATAAAAAATTGTCTAAGATAGTACAAAATGTTAATAGGTAAGAAAATGGATAAGTACTCCATTTGTTATGTCTATGATAAGAACTATTTTATGTATTACTTTACATATAAGAAATGAATATGTTATTACACGACATACTATGCCTATAATTTATACTTATACCGCCTATATTATTTTTTTTTATAAAATGTACAAAAACTTTTTAGCATGTATAAGTGGATATATTTGAATATTCGATTTTTATGAAAAATTAACCTGTTGTAAATTACTTTGATCATCAATAATACCATAAATAGTAACCAAGTTACTATTACGAGTTAAAAGTAAAAACTTTGCATGAACATTAACAGATCACTGATTGGATCATCTATTTATGGTATACAGTGATCGCGTTGCCAGACCATATACGATCCAATCGCGTGAGAGCACGTTTCATGTTCGAATGAATCATCGATATATAAAGTTTCCCGCTCAAAGATAGTAAAGATCCACACGAGCTACGTTGACACTATACAAACCTATATGAGCTAATTTTGATTATGAAAATATACTTTTGAAATGTACAAATCTAATTAATCTCGTTCAGAATTCTCAGAATATAAATATACAAAAATTGAAAATCTACGAGTTATCGAATTTCAAATCGATCGATTATAGAAAGTTTTCAAATAAGAAACAAGACAATTCCAAATATAAAATATGTGATGCAAGTTCATATTAATATAAGGAATATTCTTGAAGATATATTTAACAATAGGATCCTTAAAACTGTTTATTTAATAATTACAATTTTTTTGTAGAAAATAAAAATTAGATTACAATAGATATTCAAACTCGAAAAATAATATAAAAAAAGAATATTCATTATATTTTTCCTATCAACTATACTTTCGTTTATTAATAACATAAAAAAGATAGTTATGAAAGAGTATTTTAATATTAAATGAAATATTACAATCATTAGATCATTATATATAAATATATAAATATTATATATAAATGATATTATGATAAATATCACAATGAACCTTGATGAAAATATGATTAATTACAGATAGTTTCTCAAATATCATTAGAAAAAAATGATGACATGAAAATTTAATATTCTCAAAGAAATTATATGAATCTTGTTATATTGACATCATTTTTTTCCAAGATTTATCTCTGTATATATCTACTTTCAATATTATAATAATCAATTTTCAATATTCATATTATAATATTATAATTCCCTATTTTTATTTTAAATTCATATTAGATAAAAGATAGATGATTAGATAACATATCTGACTATTTTCTTAATTTCATTAAAATATTAATTGAATCTAATCTAACCTAATCTGATTTCATTAGACGAAAAATTAAAAATAGCCATTTCTAATTTATGAACGAATCCCATATCGTTGACATCATCGCAACCTACATGAAAATAACGTTTGAATCTGGAACGCCAGTTCCTCAAACCATTGCTCCGAAACCAGAAGTTTAACGAATATAAAACGCATATTTATTCAATGAAAAGAGCTCTTTGACTGTTCGACAAGCGGCATATCGAATAAAAAAAAACGTGTTCGAGCACAAACATGTTGGCCACGCAATAGGCAACATTCCATTCCGTGACACGTGTACCACTAACATCGAACTTAACCTCTTAACGGGACACGACAGGATAAACAAATAAAATCGTATATTCTATCACACGTGAAATGCAAAAAGAGATTATTGTTTCTCTTTAAATACAAGTATATTTAATAATGCGTCACTAACCTTGAGTCGAATTTTGTGCCATCGACAAGTGTGCCGGTATAATGCATCGTCAGCTGGTCACCAATTTTTGATTTGGCGTCGCATACCTCCGGCACGTACAATTTCTCGACTTTCAGTCCCGATTGGTTTTGATCAGCGCTAGCAAGAACAAGAACGGCAATGAACACGAGAAGCACCGTACGACACATCGCGAGCACGACACCCGCGTTGTTATTTACGAAACGGACAACCATGATTCAGCTCGTTCACTGGCGAATGCTCGTAAGCAACTGAAACGGAGTAGCGCTCTATTCGGCCGAGCTACCTTCGCTTCCCTCTCCCTCTGCCGGCTGGCTGCGCTGTACTTCGTTCCGAGATCAGACGAGCACCGTGCCGCCACATTGCGCCGTCTCATTGGCCCCGCGAAATATGTAGGTCTCTGCCTCGGCCTCTTTTCCCCTTTTCATTCTTTCTCTTTCGCTCTCCTTATATTTTTTTTTCTTTTTCTTTTCCCTCTTTCACTCCCGCGTTTCAATCCTCGCATCTCCTTTTTCCCCTTCCGTCTCGTTTTCTCTCAAACTCTTTTCTTTCTCGTCTACGCTACGTCGTCCAGTCTCTTCCTTATTCCATCCTCGTCACGACTCCGATCCACGATTCGGAGTACTCTAGCGTCGACCTTTCTTTCCTAACACGCGTGTCGGCTTCGTCAACAGACGAAACCTTCTTCCACCCCGGCTCTCTCTTTCTTCGAACATAGAACCCACCGCGTCCTTCTTTTTACGAACCATTCGCGCTTCTTTTCTCTTTCCTTGCGGTATCCAACAGCCTTTCGACTCTCTTGTGATAAACTCTCTTGCCTCGTTGCATTCTCACTACGTGTTTCTATCTGGGTCACTTTGAAATTTCGTCTTCGTGGCGGAATTTATTGGTTCCTCTATGAGAAATCCAAAACTATCCAAAAATTGGAGTAGTTATATTATATTAACTGTATTTTTTAAAGATTTCTTTAAAATCACGTAGATAATCATATTGACTGATAAATTTATATCTCTTTTCTTCTTAATGAAGAGTTTTCAACTTTGCTCCAAAATTTATAATGAATGTATTAACATAGTTTCGCTATCATATTTTAATTATATTTGAAGTATTCGTTGAAAAATTTATGATAATATGAAACAAACTACTTAAATTTTTGTATTCATGATTATGAACTATGAAAACAAATATAAATATAAATATGAAATATAAATGAATTTCCTATTTTACACATATAAAATTTTATAAAATAATCTAATCAATGCAAATTCTAAAATTTATACAAATCAATGAAAAAAGAAAAAGAACAATCAGCATAATTGTCTTCTTCAATAGCTTTCCCATAAATAAAAGTAATATAATATAGTTGATTATTCGAGAAATAATAATATTCAAAATAATTTCATACAACACTGTTTCACCTCTTTTAACAAACACGAAAAATCCTGTTGCAAACGACATATTAAAAACAAAGATTCGTAAAAGAACATCGACAGAAACGCGTGTCTCGGTATCAAAAGATAAAAAATCAAATGCAGTTGGAAATGAAATCATAGAAAGAAAACGGTGCAGAGTTTCTCTCAAAAGAGAGAAAGTTCTCTAAAAACTTTAACGAAGAAATAAACGTATCAGGATAGCATATTACATTTAAAAAACATTTAAAAAGCAAAGAAAAAAATCAAATTTCATTCCATCATACGAGTTGAAAGATCATCGCTCTCGTAATTCTTCTTATAAAAGTTTCATCTTTCATCGTGCAACTTTTATAACAAGCTGCGTTGACGTTTGTCTTCGTTAACAATCCTGTCAATTTTCCTGTCGACGTAGTAATTAATTTTCCTTTACCTGTCCACTCATTCCTCAATCCCTTCTCACTCCCAGCCCTACTTACCCATTTGCACATAACCTCACGCAACATCCTACTGAACTTCGTTCAACCCTCTTTCAACCCTCTTCCTCGAACATAATCCTCCTTTTCTCTTTAAAGTTTCTTTCACTTTGACCGCGCGTGATACCTTCGCCCTTTCGTTTTTTTCTTTTTCGCTTCTTCTTCTTCTTCTTCTTCTTCTTCTTCTTCTTCTTCTTCTTCTTCTTCCACGCAACAGATATCGTTATGATGCACCTAACCCTCCTCTGTGCACGTCTCCTTTCTTCTATCTGTTCCGTTATTCCACCCCTTTCTCTTTCACGCTGCTCTCGCCGCCCTACTTTCTTCGTTTGCCAGCCGTGTCACAGCAGCAGCCAAGCGGATTCGAGCATCGCAATACGTCTCTTCTTGCACCAGGAGCAAGCCAACGCTGCCACCGACGTTTCTCCAAAGTTACATGTGTATCTCGTAACTCGCTAACGCTCCGCTGCCCTCGCTCGCCAAGAAATCCATCCTACCGATTAACGAGGTTTGCGAATTTTACGCGAAAATTAGGTGCACGAGTGTCACTCGGTGAACACTCGACTTGTTTTTTAGAATTTCACGGAACGGTGATGGGATCTCTTCGAGTTTTTCCCTCGAGTTTTCAATTGACACTCGTGTCGAGTGCATTCTTTGAGAAGTGTGTTGAAATGATGAGCTACGATACAGAGGTGAAAGAGTTTTTACGCTGAATTTTAATTTGGTCTCGTTTATAGTTTGATCGAAGAGAATTGCCCATTTTTCTTTCGAATATATTAATTTAAAACTATTGATTGGAATATTACTCTATTTTTAAGTAAAAAGGATGTGTGTAAATTGATTGTTATTTGATTTTTTATTTTAATATTGAAATAATAAAGGAGTAAAACAGATATTTTAACTCGAAAACTGTTTATATCGATTTTATACATATTATTTTATAACGTGTAAGGAATTTTGAAATATTGTGTCAGAAATGATGCAAAATGTTTTATTACATTTAATAATATTGGTAAAAATTATTCCAAATTATTTTATTTTTTCGCGATGGTGATGGTTTCGTGATGATTTACATTCCATTAAAAATGTTTTTACAGATTTATTATGGATTATTAAATATTATGAGCATATTGAATATTAAACAAATTTACGAATTAACTTGAAAATTTTATAAAGAACAAAGGCAATTTAATTTAAAATATCACGAAAAACATTGAACAAGAAAATGACATGTTTCAAATTAGACTTTATTATCGACAAATTGAAGAACAATGAACTGTCAATTAATTCCACAGCTTTCATCAACGAAAAATATTGACGGAGGCAACAACAACTTTCGATTTTAAAATTTATTACTTATTCGCAAGTGAAAACACGATTTATTTGACGATTAATTTAATAATACTCGACGAAGACTAGACAAATTATCGAGTGTAAATAAATTTCATACGTATAATCCACTCACACTGTTGAAAACATTTCATACTAGAATTCAAGTTTTTCAATCACTCTGAATAAACAAGAGAAATGACGATCAAGAAAAAAATAAAAATTAGTCTTTCAAATATTGAATTATGACTACCATGAAACCAAGCACGTTACCTGTCTAGATTCTAATCCCCGGAAATAGCACTTTTTTATTTGCCAATCTACGTGTACCGATCGTTTCAAATTGCACATCGAACAGTATGGATCTCGAATCCAATATTAAATTAAATTCGTTCGTCACGTTCACGCGATCAATCCTTACCATCCTCCTTTTTCAATCGTATTACTATATCGCGAATAAACTCGTTCCAATTACAATTTTACACGCGCATCTTTCCGGAATAATTCATGGATTTCGTCGAGTTACAATTTTAACCATTTTAACAATTTTAACCATGCTTGAAAATGGAAAACTCGCTTTCCAGCTTCGGTTCGATGCCATTTTCGAACGAGTTCCGTTTAAACGTAAATAATACTCGCGTTTCAACTTAGACTTAAAGAAGAATATCATTTTGAGAATTGTCTTGCAATTCGTGAGAAGAAGAACGAGCTCTAAGTGATTGCCAAAACGGGATATCTTAAATTTGAAAGTAACGAAATTGAAAAGAGGTATTTCGCTGTTTCTATTTGCTACGATCTCTCGAAGAGAATAAATATATCTCTCCTATAAACACGTTCCTTTTCCATAGAAGAATACGCGAACAATGAATATATATCGCAAGTTACGTTATTATCACATCCCATGAAAATTCGAATTCATAATCCCTCGAAGAACACCGAGTTAATTCCCTCGAATTTCTCCTCCGTGACCGCCGTTCTCGACGACCTCTTTCACGCAGACTTTAACGAGGGAAGAAACGCGAGAGAATCCAACCGCTCTCCATCGAATCGTCCACAAGTTTAAACCAGCGGAACGTGGGGGAGGACCGCGAAACGTTGAACCGTGTGCGTGGTCGTACGTTTTGCATGAACGGGTCACGAGGCTCGGCCAGAAACTGAATTTGCGCAGGAATCTCGAGCCGTGACTTCGGCCGTGCCATCGCAACGCGTCTACATTCCGACTTCATGCATATAAATTATGTGATTTGTGGTGGGATCCGGACCTTTTGAAACTTTCCAAGTCGAACGAAAGAGAGAGAGAGAGAGAGGGAGAGAGGGAGAGAGGCCGATACTCCATCCGTCGATCCTCCCGGAAGAGTATCGCGTACGATCGCGTTAAATCGAAGTGGAAAAGAGGAAAGTTTTTCGATCCTGGCTCGCGTGCGCGTTGACTTAATTTCAGCTCGTTCCAAAATAAAAAAAATTCTTTCGTTTCTGCGAAATTTTCGCCCACCGTTAACGAACTTATGAACTGGAACCAGGCGAGAAGCAGAGCAAAGTTGAAGTTTTATTTTCGTGGGATACACCGTTGCCGGATAATAAGCTCGTTCTCGAGTTACGGGTAAAAATATCGGTTGATCCTGAGAGAAATAGGGTGTAATATTTCCGGAGACGTGGTTATTCGGAAGAAATATTAACGAGAGAGATTTATCAACCTATTTCTGCGTTGTTCTTTCCCTTCCCCTTTTTCTTTTAATTTTATTTTCAACGTGTACGGGCGTATTATTCCTCTCGGAGAGATAAACACGAGGAAAGCTGCGGCGAAAGTGGAGTACACAACTTTCATTGCGCGTGGAAACGATCTCTGAGTGAAATGGAGGTTCTGTTGCGCTTATTTATATTCATTCCGGATAGAAACGAGAGGTGAAAATGAAACTAAATTTTCGTATTTACATTTAAAATTTATCGTTGAATCGATCATATATAGCATACTCGATTTTAAATTATTTATAGGAAAATTCTTCAATTGTTTTTTTTTTCCTCTCTCGAAGGATTCGTTTCCCCTGATATTTTGATATACGAAATATAAAATTCTATTCTATTTT